GGGAGGATGAGCCTGGCTCTCCAGCACCTTCTGAGGAGCTCTGAGGGTGGCTGGGATGGTCAAAACTCCCACCCGTGCTCATGGGCCAGCAGGAACTCAAGGTCCAGCAGAACAACTTCCAGGGATCCCAGAAATTCCCTGAAACTCACGGGGCTCCATCGCCCCATTGAGCTCCTCGTCCTGGGGTGGTGCTGGACATTCCTGCCTGGGCTTTAGGGGATTTGGGACACAATCACAACCATGGACATTCCTGCCTGGACTTTAGGGGATGGCACCTCAAGGTTTGGGGACTGGGGACAGAGCCATCACCACTGGACATTGCTGCCTGGACTTTAAGGAATGTTATCACAAGGTTTGGGGACTGGGGACACAATCACAACCATGGACATTCCTGCCTGGACTTTAGGGGATGGCATCCCAAGGTTTGGGAATTTGGGGCACAATCACAACCGCTGGACATTCCTGCCTGGACTTCAGGGGATGTCATCCCAAGGTTTGGGAATTTGGGGCACAATCACAACCGCTGGACATTCCTGCCTGGACTTCAGGGGATGTCATCCCAAGGTTTGGGAATTTGGGGCACAATCACAACCGCTGGACATTCCTGCCTGGACTTTAGGGGATGTCATGCCAAGGTTTGGGGATCTGGGGACACAACCACCACGACTGGATGTCTGGAGGTGGACCAGACCAGCAGGGCCACTTCACCAATGCTGTCACCACGGCTGGTCCGGCCTGTGCCACCCACGGGGTGTGAGGTTGTGCTCTGACTTTGTACTTTATGGCCAATTTTTCTGTATTCAGTGAATTTATTGGATCCTTCAGTTTAAATTCCAACTCTGACTTCCAAACCCCCTGCACGGTGTGTGGGGTTTGTGTGGGGTGAATTCCTCCTGTGGGTTTTGCCCCAACCAGCACAGCCTGGAGCTGGGGAGAGGGAGAAACTTCTCCAGGCCAGGCTCCCCTCAGCTGTGCCAGTCCCGGGAAAAGTCCTTGAGAGGGACAGCAGTGGGGACAGCTGGAGCTGCTGTGGGGCTGCTGGCAGTGCCAGCCTGAGCTGCTGCTGCTGCTGCCAACCCAGGGTGTCCCTCTGTCCCCAGCTCGTCTCTCTGCCCCCTCACTCGCCCCACTCGGTCCCAGCGGGGATCCCTGGATCTGGGACATCCCCTCTGCCCCAGCGGGGTCCCCAAGGTCCCTTCAGCCCAAGCCACGCCCGGGTCACAGCTCTGTGCTGCCCTCCCCCACCCGAGGGCACCGTGCCCGCACATGGAACCGGCCCCTCTGTGACATCACCCCGGCCCGCTGGCACCGCGGGCAGCGCCAGGGCCGGGGTGCCACCAGAGGTGACAGCTGTGCTCTGGCTCTGCCACCTGCGCTGGCACCGATGGCTTTGCTGGGGCTGCTCGTCCTGCTGGCCCTGGCCGGGCCCGCGGGGGCCACCTGGGACACCTGCAGGTCAGTGGCCCCGGGGGGCTCGGGGACACTCGGGGGCTCCCCTGGCACAGCCCGGGCACAGAGGAGCCCCTCGGGGTCCCTGTCCCTGCTGTCCCCGAGCAGGGCACCGATGGCTTTGTGCTTCCAGAGGCACCTGCGGGCTCTGGCCCATGGTTTTGAATGAGACCTCGGCCATTCCTGAGTACGGATCCTCACGTTCTGCCAAGAGCCCGACCCTCGACGTCAACCCGGGGGCCTGGCCTGGCATCGCCAGCATCCAGGTCACCTGGGACAACGGCACGTGGCACATGTGCTCGGGGGCACTGATCAGCCACCGCTGGGTCCTCACGGCCGCCAGCTGCTTCATCGGGGCTGGGTAAGGGGCAGCAGGGACGGGGATGTGCCCACAGGAGGGACAGGAGTGTCCCCACAGAAGGATCAGCGGTGTCCCCACAGCAGGGTCACAGGTGTCCCCACAGCAGGGACAGGGTTGTTCCCACGGCAGGAATGTCCCCTTGGCAGGGTCAGGGATGTCCCACATCATGGTTAGGGATGTTCCCTCAGCAATGTCAGGATTGTCCCCTCAGCAATGTCACAGTTGTTCCCTCAGCAATGTCACGGTTGTCCCCTCAGCAATGTCAGGGATGTCCCCTCAGCAATGTCACGGTTGTCCCCTCAGCAATGTCAGGGATGTCCCCCCAGCAGGGCCAGGTGCCCAGGCTGCACCACCATGTGCTGCTCCATTGCTGTCTCCATTCCCTGCTGTGGGAAGCAGAGGGCCGGGAGCTGCTGGGCTGTGCCAGCCCTGTCACTGCTGTGTCACTGCTGTGTCACTGCTCCCTGTCATTCCATGGCCTCCAGGGATGTCCTCAAGTGGAAGGTGGTGGTCGGGGCCACAGACCTGGCCCAGCCGGGCGCCGCGGCCGAGGTGTTCCAGATCAAGCAGGTCCTGAAGCACCAGAACTACGACGCCATGCTCCTTCCACAAAAGGCAAAGATGAGGGGTTAAAAACAATTTACTGCAAACAGCCATGAGATAAGGAATCAGACAATTATTTGCAGCAATATTAATTAGAAAAGGTGTAAGACAAAGCAGTGATTTACATGGAAATCCTGTGGCAACACCTTACCACATTTTATCCTGGAAGTGATGCCCTTGTCCATGGAAGTGAGAGGGGACACTGCCAGTGTCACTGCCCTGGGGCCTGGACGTGCCCCACTCCCAAAAAATTATTCCTCTGGCTAAAATCACACACCCATTATCCACATTGTGAGCCCAGTTCAGCCTCCTGGGAAAAACAGGGATGGGACAATCTGGGGGTCGGGCCTGGTTTGGGGGAGATGAGGGGGAGGAGGGAGGGGAGGGAGGATGGGCCTGAGCTGGGGAGAGGGAGAAACTTCTCCAGGCCAGGCTCCCCTCAGCTGTGCCAGTCCCGGGAAAAGCCCTTGAGAGGGACAGCAGTGGGGACAGCTGGAGCTGCTGTGGGGCTGCTGGCAGTGCCAGCCTGAGCTGCTGCTGCTGCTGCCACCCAGGGTGTCCCCTCTGTCACCAGCTCGTGTCTCTGAGGCTGCCGGGAGCCATCCCATGCTCCTGCTGTGCCCTCGGTCCCAGCTGGGATCCCTGGATCTGGGACATCCCCTCTGCTCCAGCGGGATCGCGGCTCCCAGGAGCTGTCCTGGCTCTGGGGAAGTGCTGGAGTGTCTGGAGAATGATCCTGGAACGGGTCAGGACCCTGGAACGGGTCAGGATGCTGGAACTGGTCAGGATGCTGGAAGGGGTCAGGATCCTGGAAGGGATCAGGATCCTGGAAGGGGTCAGGATCCCGGAATGGGTCAGGGTGCTGGAACAGGTCAGGTCCTGGAACGGGTCAGGGTGCTGGAACGGGTCAGGTCCTGGAAGGGATCAGGATGCTGGAATGGGTCAGGATGCTGGAACAGGTCAGGATGCTGGAAGGGGTCAGGATCCTGCCCTAGTCCTCCCCTGGAACATCCCACACGGAGCACGGGATGCTCATTTGGGGTCTCCCTGACCCCATTCCACCCCAGCTCCCCGTGAGTCCGAGGCGTCCCCGAGCCGTGGGGCAGCCCCGAGGCCGAGCTGGGTTTTTGGGGCCAGGAACCTTTGGGGTGTCACTGCGGGGAGCAGCGGCAGCAGGAAGGTTTGGGGCTGCAGCTGGGGTTGCAGCAGGGCTGCAGCGAGGGGTCGCGGCCCTTGCCGATCTGGCTCTCCCCGAAATGCAGGCGCTGCAGCAGCAGCTCCTTCTGCTCGGCGATGTCCTTGAGCGCCTGCAGCGCCTCGGGGCCCGGCTGGCCCTGCAGCAGGTCGTAGTTCTCCGCGGGGTCCGCCTCCAGGTCGAAGAGCAGCGGGGGCAGGTGCGGGGTGAGCGGGGTCAGCCCGTGGCACGCCCGGTCCGGGGTCGTGTCGCTGTGGAAGGAACCTGGGGAGCGCCCGGCCGAGCTCGCACCGCCCCCGCGGAGCGCACCCCAAAGCCCCCGCACCGCCCCAAAGGCCAGCGCTGACCTTGGGTGAAGTAGTGCGCCTTGTAGCGGCCCAGGCGGACGGCGAACGGGCCGCGCTGCGGGTCGGGGGCGGGCGGGAAGAAGAACACGGCCCGGCGGGGGCTCTGCGGACACGGGTCAGCGCGGCTCCGACCGGCACCGGGCCGGGACCGGACCGGGACCGAGCCGGGACCGAACCGGCACCGAGCCGGGATGGGACCGGGACCGGACCGGCACCGAGTCGGGACCGAGCCGGGATGGGACCGGGACCGAGCCGGGATGGGGCCGGCACCGAACCGTACCCGAGCCGGGATGGGGCCGGCACCGAACCGGGACCGAACCGGGATGGGACCGGCACCGAACCGACACCGAACCGGCACCGAGCCGGGACCGAACCGGCACCGAACCGGCACCGAGTCGGGACCGAGCCGGGACCGACCGGGACCGAGCCGGGATGGGACCGGGACCGAGCCGGCACCGAACCGGTACCGAACCGGCTCCTGTTCCTCCATATAATGCAATATAATACAATATAGATTATATTATATTATATTTATTCAATTATTATTTATCATTGATTTAAAATCAATTAATCAGCTTTTTTGCATGCAAAATCTGAGATACTACTACTATTATTATTATTATTATTATTATTATTATTCTTGTTATTGTTATTGTTATTACTTGCAATGTAACTGAATGAAGGCAGCCGCAGCCATCAGCCCTGACGCAGCGGCAGCGCCGTGCCCGCGGCAGCACTCACCGCGCCGGTGCCGAGCAGCAGCGGGCTCAGGTCGAAGCCGTCCAGGGGCAGCGCGGGCAGCGCGGCGCCCGCCAGGGCGGCCAGCGTGGGCAGGACGTCCAGCGTGCTGGCCAGCTCGTGCGTCACGCCTGCGCGGGCAGCGGCACCGGCTGGCCTGCTTTGGCCTGCTTTGGCCCGGGTTTGTCCCCAGTTTGTCCCAGGTTTGTTCCCGGTTTGTTCCCAGTTTGTCAGGGTTTGTACTGGTTTGTCCCCCTTTGTTCCGGGTTTGTTCCCAGTTTGTCCTGGGTTTGTCCCTGTTTTGTCCTGGGTTTGTCCCAGGCAGCGGCACCGGCTGGCCTGCCTTGGCCCGCTTTGGCCCGCTTTGTTCCGGGTTTGTCCCCAGTTTGTCAGGGTTTGTACTGGTTTGTCCCACTTTGTCCCGGGTTTGTTCCCAGTTTGTCCTGGGTTTGTCCTGGGTTTGTTCCTGGTTTGTTCCCAGTTTGTCCCTGGTCTGTCCCGCTTTGTCCCAGTTTGTCTCACTTTGTCCTGGTTTTGTTCCCAGTTTGTCCCAGTTTGTCCTGATTTTGATCCAAGTTTGTCCCAGTTTGTTCCTGGTTTGTCCCAGTTTGTCCTGGGTTTGTCCTGCTTTGTCCTGTTTTGTCCCGGGTTTGTCCCAGTTTGTCAAGGTTTGTACTGGTTTGTCCCGCTTTGTCCCAGGTTTGTTCCCAGTTCGTCCCTGGTTTCTCTCAGGTTTGTTCCCAGTTCGTCCCAGGTTTGGTCCCGGTTTTTCCCAGTTTGTCCCAGGTTTGTTCCCAGTTTGTCCTGAGTTTGGTCCCAGTTTGTCCCGGTTTGTCCCAGGTTTGGTCCCAGTTTTTCCCAGGTTTGTCCCAGATTTGTCCCAGTTTGTCCCCGGTTTGTCGCAGTCTGTCCTGGGTTTGTCCTACTTTGTCCCAGTCTCTCCCACTTTGTCCTGGTTATTGGTCCCAGTTTTTCCCAGGTTTGTCCCAGATTTGTCCCAGTTTGTCCCCGGTTTGTCCCAGTCTGTCCTGGGTCTGTCCCACTTTGTCCCGCTCTGTCCCGGGTCTGTCCCGGCTCACCTGGCGCGATCGTGCCCGGCCAGTACGCCAGGGCCGGCTCCCTCATGCCGCCCTCGTAGGTGGTGCCCTTGCCACAGCGGAGGTGCCCGGCGCTGCCACCGCGCGCCATGCGCAGCGTGGAGGGGCTGGGGACAAGGACTGCTGTCACCCGGGCCAGGCCCGGCGGGACAGGGCTGGCACCGGGGGACAAGGCTGGCACCGCTGGGACAAGGCTGGCACTGCCAGGACAAGGCTGGCCCCGGGGGGCAAGGCTGGCCCTGGGAGGACAAGGCTGGCACCGCGGGGACAAGGCTGGCCCCGGGGGGCAAGGCTGGCCCTGGGAGGACAAGGCTGGCACTGCCAGGACAAGGCTGGCACAGCGGGGACAAGGCTGGCACCATGGGGACAAGGCTGGCACTGCTGGGACAGGGCTGGCACTGCTGGGACAGGGCTGCCACTGCTGGGACAAGGCTGGCACCGGGGGACAAGGCTGGCACCGTGGGGACAAGGCTGGCACCGCGGGGACAAGGCTGGCACTGCCAGGACAAGGCTGGCACCATGGGGACAAGGCTGGCACCGCGGGGACAAGGCTGGCACAGCGGGGACAAGGCTGGCACCATGGGGACAAGGCTGGCCCGGTGCCACAGGGACTCTGCCACCCTCGGGGGCAGCCAGGGCTGTGACACACCCGAGAGGGGCACCCACAGTGGTGTCACCACATGGAGTGAGCTGGGGGGCACACGCCTGGCACAACCCCTGGGTGACATTTGGGGGTAGCACATTGATGTCCCAACCCCAGGGTGACATTTGGGGGTGTCACATTGATGTCCCAACCCCTGGGAAGTTTCTGTCACGGAACACCGAGCTCATACCCCATGAGCAGGACCCGGGGGTGACACCTGGCGCTGCCACACGCGTGCCCCAGCAGTGCCAGCCATGCCAGCAATGCCAGTGGTGCCAGCAATGCCAACCATGCCAGCAGTGCCAGCCACGTCAGCGGTGCCAGCCATGCCCGTGCCAGCCATGCCAGCAATGCCAGCAGTGCCAGCAATGCCAGCCGTGCCAGCGGTGCCAGCTGTGCCAGCAGTGCCAGCTGTGCCAGCCGTGCCTGTGCCAGCCGTGCCAGCAGTGCCAGCTGTGCCAGCAGTGCCAGTGGTGCCAGCTGTGCCAGCCGTGCCAGCCGTGCCAGCAGTGCCAGCCGTGCCAGCCATGCCTGTGCCAGCCGTGCCCGTGCCAGCCGTGCCCGTGCCAGCCTTGCCAGCAGTGCCAGCAGTGCCAGCCGTACCAGCGGTGCCAGCTGTGCCAGCCGTGCCAGCCGTGCCCGCGGTGCCAGGCGCTCACCCGTTGTCGGAGGTGACGAGCAGCAGCGTGGAGCTCTCCAGGCGACATTTGGGGGTGTCACATTGATGTCCCAACCCCTGGGATGTTTCTGTCACGGAACACCGAGCTCACACCCCATGAGCAGGACCCAGGGGTGACACCTGGCGCTGCCACACGCGTGCCCCAGCAGTGCCAGCCATGCCAGTGGTGCCAGCAATGCCAACCATGCCAGCAGTGCCAGCCGTGCCCGTGTCAGCTGTGCCAGCCGTGCCAGCCGTGCCAGCAGTGCCAGCCGTGCCAGCCATGCCTGTGCCAGCCGTGCCCGTGCCAGCCGTGCCCGTGCCAGCCTTGCCAGCAGTGCCAGCAGTGCCAGCCGTACCAGCGGTGCCAGCTGTGCCAGCAGTGCCAGCAGTGCCAGCCGTGCCAGCCGTGCCAGCAATGTCAGCCATGCCAGCAATGCCAGCAATGCCAGCCGTGCCAGAGGTGCCAGCTGTGCCAGCAGTGCCAGCAGTGCCAGCCGTGCCCGTGGTGCCAGGCGCTCACCCGTTGTCGGAGGTGACGAGCAGCAGCGTGGAGCTCTCCAGGCCGTGCTCCCGCAGCGCCCGCAGCAGCTCCCCCACCGAGTGATCGAACTCGGCCAGCGCGTCCCCGAAGGGGCCCCGGCGCGTCCGGCCCGCGAAGTCCCGGCTGGCAAACTGCGGGTAGTGCGTGTGCTGCCGGGGGGAGGGCACGGGATCGAGCCCTGCGGGACAGCCAGCCCCGCGGGGTGACAAAGGCCACCAGCCCAGGGAGGGCTGTCCCCGAGGGGAGCTCCGGCTGGGAGGTTTGCCCCAGGGATGGGGCAGGGAAGAGGGGAAGGCTGCAGGAAGCAGCAGCCTAAAAGCAGCATCCCAATAGGATGGGGAATAGCAAGCCCAGGTCACCCAGGAGCAGATTTTGGGGTGGCAGCAGGGGAGGTGCTGCCCTGTTCTCCCCATGGGACTTGGGCTCCCTTCCCTTTTCCCTCCCCTTCCCCTTCCCTTTCCCTTTCCTGTCCCTTTTCCTTTTTCCTCCCTCCTTGTCCCTTTTCCTTCCCCTTCCCTTCTCCCTTCTCTTTTCCCTTCCCCGTTTCCCTTCCCTTTTCTCTTTTCCTTTTCCCTCCCCCCCTTTCCCTCCTCTTCCCTTTTCCCTTTCCTTTTCCCTTCCCTTCCCCCTCCCCTTCCTTTTTTCCCTCCCCTTTTCCTTTCCCTTCCCTTTTTCACTTCTCTTCCCCCTTTTCCCTTCCCTTTCTCTTTTCTTTTCCCTTCCCTTCCCCATCTGTTTCCCTTCCCCCTTTTTTTTTCCCTTTTCCCTTTTCCCTTCCCTTCTCCCTCCCCTTCCCTTTTCCCTCCCCTTCCCTTTTTCCCTCCCCTTTTCCTTTCCCTTCCCTTTTCCCCTTCCCTTCCCTTCTCTTCCCCATTCCCCATTTCCCTTTTCCCTTTCCCCTCCCTCTCCCCACCTCATTTCCCGTTTCCCATTTCCCGTTCCCCGTTCCCCATTTCCCGTTCCCCATTTCCCGTTCCCCATTTGTTCCCCATTCCCCGTTCCCCATTCCCCATTCCCCATTTCCCGTTCCCGTTCCCCATCCGCACGTGGGACGCGTAGTAGAGCAGGAAGGGCAGGCGCAGGCGGGCGCAGCGGGCGATGAACTCGCGGCAGAAGCGGCCGTAGCGCGGCCCCAGCTCGGGGAAGGCCACGGGCTGCTGCACGATGCTCTGGTTCCAGAGCAGCGGCACCGCCACCACGCCCTGGTCACACGTCCCGAAGCACTTGGTGTCGGGCGGGAAGCACGTCAGGTTCTGGCAGGGACCCTGCAAAGCACGGCGGCCTTGGCACCCCGGCTCTGCTTTTGGCTCGTTAACTTAATTTTTTAAAAGTTTTCAGATTTTAATTTTTTTTTTCTATTTTTCTAAAGTATCTACAAGTTCATTTCCCACACTGAGCTTCACATTATGGGATGGGGAGCTCTGTGCACAGAGCAGGGACACAAAACAATTCCTGCTGAGCTGGGCACCAAGGACAAATGATCCCAATGCCAGCCCAGGAGCACAAACCCCGTGGGCTGCAGAGAGAAAAACAAGGATGGGAGTGCAGGGGCTGCACTGGGGTTGGACACTGAACTGCAATGTGCACATGGAGCAGAGCTGAGCCCAGGGAGAGACCCCGGCAGCGCTCGTGCATTTTGGGGCCATTTGGGGTCATCTTGGGGGCATTTTGGGGCCATTTGGGGTCATCTTGGGTTCATTTTGGGACCATTTGGGTTCATCTTGGGTGCATTTGGGGTCATCTTGGGTGCATTTTGGGACCATTTGGGGTCATCTTGGGACCATTAGGGTTCATCCTGGGTGCAGCCCTGGCTGGGCTCTGGTGCTGCCCCAGGTGCACCCATGGAGGAGATCCTTTCCATCAATCCCTGCTTTATTTATTAAATAATATTTAATATTAAATATTATTTAATATTACATTTAAAACTTACTGATTCTATATTACATATATTATATATAAGAATGTCTGAGTATACTTACATATAACTGTATATATATAATAATATATATTAATAATATAAAATATACTTACATATGTAAAAATCTATTATATATTATATTATTAAATTTACTTATTTAATATTTTATAAGTAAATTTAAATATTAAATTTACTTATTTAATATTTTATAAGTAAATTTAAATATTAAATTTACTTATTTAATACATTTTATTGATAATATAATATTTTAATAGGATTTCATAGCCTATAACATATATATCGATTAGATATATTATAGAATATGTAATGCGTTATGGAACTTATATATGTTTTAATAATATTGAGAATGTATTATTTATTTATATTTTCTACAAGATTTTATTAATTAATTAAATAAACATTTAATTAGTTTAATATTTAGTATTTACTACTTAATATTTAATATGATTTTACTAATCAAATATTTAATATTTATGTAAATTTGAAGGAGAATAAAATAAATAAATTAAAAAATATCTTAAAAAATTAAATTTATCACTATTAAAAATTTAAAAATTCATTTACCCGCCTCTGTTCCATCTCCGCCTCATCCCCACCCACCCCAGCAGCCCGGGGGGCTTTACCCGCGCCAGACCCGCGCCAGACCCGCGCTGGCCCGGCGCAGCCCCGCAGCGGGCTCACCTGGTCGTGCGAGTAGGGAATCCCCAGGAAGTGGTCGAAGCCCTGGCGGGTGGGCAGGAAGGCGCCGTCCTTGCCCACGCCCAGGTGCCACTTGCCCACCATGGCCGTGGCGTAGCCGCGCTCCCGGAGCAGCTCGGCCACGGTGAGCTCGGCCAGCGGCAGCCCGCCCCGCGAGTCGGGGGCGAACACGCCCGGGAAGACCCCGGAGCGCACGGGCAGGCGGCCCGTCAGCAGCGCGGCCCTGCGCGGACACGGCTCGGGACAGCGGGGACACGGCTCGGACAGCGCGGGGACAGCGGGGACAGCGGGGACACGGCTCGGGATGGCGCGGGACACGGCTCGGGATACAGCGGGGACAGCGGGGACAGCGCGGGGACAGCGGGGACACGGCTCGGGATAGCGCGGGACACACCGGGACAGCGGGGACAGCGAGGGGACAGACAGGGACACGGCTCGGGATAGCGCGGGACAGCGGGGACAGCGCGGACACGGCTCGGGATGGCTTTCCCTAGCGGGGACACGGCTCGGGATAGCGCGGGACACACCGGGACAGCGGGGACAGCGAGGGGACAGCGGGGACACGGCTCGGGATGGCGCGGGACAGAGAGGGGACAGCGAGGGGACACTGCGGGGACAGCGCGGCCCTGCGCGGACACGGCTCGGGATACAGCGGGGACAGGGGGACAGCGGGACAGAGGGGACAGCCCGGGATACCGCGGGGACAGCGGGGGGACAGCGCTGACTGTCTGTCCCGGACACCGCGGGGTCATCACCGCCCCTTTATCCCGGGACACGGAGGGTTCATCACCGCCCGTTTATCCCGGGACACCGCGGGTTTGTCCCCCTGTCTGTCCCCGGGACACCGCGGGGGCAGCACCACCCACGTATCCCGGGACACGGGGGGTTTGTCCCTCCCTCTATCCCGGGACACCGCAGGTTCATCACTGCCGGTTTATCCCGGGACACGGCGGGTTCATCACCACCCATCTATCCCGGGATACTGCAGATTCACGACCGCCCCTTTGTCCCGGGACACGGAGGGTTTGTCCCCCACCCCTCCCGCGACACCACGGGTTTATCCCCACCGCCTCTCCCGGGACACGGCAAGTTTGTTTCCCCGTTTATCCCGGGACACCCCAGCTCCGTCCCGCCCGTTTATCCCGGGACACCCAGCTCCACCTCCACCCGTTTATCCCGGGACACCCAGCTCCAGCCTGCCCATTTATCCCGGGACACCCCAGCTCCATCCCCACCCGCTTATCCCGGGACACCCCAGCACCATTCCCTCCCGTTTATCCCGGGACACCCATCTCCATCCCCGCCCGTTTATCCCGGGACACCCCAGCACCATTCCCTCCCGTTTATCCCGGGACACCCCACCTCCACCTCCACCTGTTTATCCCAGGACACCCCAGCTCCACCCGGCCCGTTTATCCCGGGACACACGGGCTGCAGACGGCGGCGCTGCTGTAGAAGTCGGTGAAGCGCAGCCCGCGGGCCGCCAGCCGGTCCAGGTGCGGCGTGGCGGACGAGGGGTGCCCGTAGCTGCCCAGGTCCCCGAAGCCCAGATCGTCCGCCAGCACCAGCACGAAGTTGGGCCGGGCGGCGGCGGCGCGCACGGGCGGCGGCAGCAGCAGCGGCAGCAGCAGCGGCACCGGCAGCAGCCAGGCGTGGCGGCGGCCCTGCGGCCCCATGGCGCTGTCCCGGCGCTGTCCCGGTCTGTCCCGGGATATCCCGGGCGGTGCCGGCAGTGCCCCGGCAGGTCACGTGAGGCGCATGGCGGCCGCGCCGCCGCGGGGCGTGCTGGGAGTTGTAGTCGCGAGTGGCGGCGCCAGGCACGGGGTGGGTGACAGAGGGGAGTGGGTGTGACAGGGAGGGACGTGGCACAGCGGGGGTGGCCTCTGGGCAGCTCGGGAATGGCACCGGGGAGGAGGCGCCGCCGCGCTGTGGTCTCTGTTCAGGGCTGGGTGCTGCCCAGGCAGCTCTGCCTCCTGTGCATGGGAATTTCTGGGATTTGTCCCTGCCCGTTCCTCTGGTGCCACTGCTGGGATCCCAGCAGCAGAGCCTGGGCCCTGCTCCTACAGCAGGAGCATGGGATGGCTCCCGGCAGCCTCAGAGACACGAGCTGGTGACAGAGGGGACACCCTGGGTGGCAGCAGCAGCAGCAGCTCAGGCTGGCACTGCCAGCAGCCCCACAGCAGCTCCAGCTGTCCCCACTGCTGTCCCTCTCAAGGGCTTTCCCCGGGAATGGCACAGCTGGGGAGCCTGGCCTGGAGAAGTTTCTCCCTCTCCCCAGCTCAGGCCCATCCTCCCTCCCCTCCCTCCTCCCCCTCATCTCCCCCAAACCAGGCCCGACCCCCAGATTGTCCCATCCCTGTTTTTCCCAGGAGACTGAGGCGGACACGGCGGCTGAGGGGGAACTGGAACAACTCTAATTGAAGCACAAAGTGTGTTCCCCGGCGGGGCGGGCGCGGGGGCAGCGTGGGCAGGGCACAGCAGCCCTGGGCACGGGGGCTGAGCTGGCCCCCAGCCACGGCCCCGCCGGGGGATGCTTGCCACAACTGCATCAGCTCATCCCCCCGCTCAGGCTTTCTCTCCCTTCAGGAACTGCAGCAGCTCCAGCAGCAGGTTCAGGAATTTGCCCAGGATCTGTTGTTGGAATGAAATCTTCGTGTAATCCTCCGAGTCATCCGGGTTGGGATTCTCCTCGTCCTCAAAGTCTGCCTCGGGCTCTTCCTCCGGGCTCGGGAAGGGCTCGGGTGGAGCAGAGTCGGCTTCTGGAGGGAGCAGTCCCATCTGCACCTGGATCCAGGTGTGGAAGTGCTGCGTGGAGGTGAACACCCCCGGCCGCTTGGCCCCGGCGCAGCCCTTGCCCCAGCTGGCCAGGCCCACCAGCCAGAAGTAGTCACCGGTGTTGTCCTTGCAGACCAGGGGACCCCCGATGTCCCCCTGCGACAGAGAGAGGGGTCAGGGGCTGCTCCAGGCCGGGCCCTGCCCATCCCGACCCCTCCAGAGCCGCGTTCCTGGCTGGATTCCCTGGCAAGGCTCGGGGCTGGGGGCTGCAGGGACCTTCCTGTGGGGACACCCCTGATCCTGCTGAGGGGACATCCCTGATCCTGCTGTGGGGACATTCCAGACTCTGCTTGGGTGATATCCCCATCCTTCCTGTGGGGACACCCCTGATCCTGCTGAGGGGACACCCCTGACACTGCTTGGGGCAGAGCGGCGGAACCTTGGAACGCTCGGGGTGGCAGCGCCCGCGCGGGGCCACCAGGGCCACCTCCCGTGCCACCTCCCGCCGTGCCCGGCCAGCCCCGGGCGCTGCGGGGACGGGGCAGTCGCGGCTCCCCGGGAACGGCGCGATCCCAGCAGGAGGCAGGGGATGAGCGGCCACGAGGGGCTGGGCCACCGGGGACTTGTGTGCCCTGAGGGCAGCTCCATTGTCACCGCTGCTCCCTGATCCCAAAGATTTGTGTTCCTTTGAGGCCGCTCCTCAATCCCAACTTTGATCCCAAAGATTTGTGTCCCCCCAGGACAGCTCCTCTGTCACTGCTGCTCCCCGATCCCAAAGATTTGTGTCCCCTAAGGGACAGCTCCTCTGTCACTGCTGCTCCCCGATCCCAGCTCTGATCCCAAAGATTTGTGTCCCCCCAGGACAGTTCCATTGTCACTGCTGCTCCCCGATCCCAACTTTGATCCCAAAGATTTGTGTCCCCTCATGGACAGCTCCATTGTCACTGCTGCTCCCCAATCCCAGCTCTGATCCCAGGGATGGCTCCATTGTCACCACTGCTCCCCAATCCCGGCTCTGATCCCAAAGATTTGTGTCCTTTTGAGGCTGCTCCCCGATCCCAAAGATTTGTGTCCTTTTGAGGCTGCTCCCCGATCCCAAAGATTTGTGTCCTTTTGAGGCTGCTCCCCGATCCCAAAGATTTGTGTCCTTTTGAGGCTGCTCCCCGATCCCAAAGATTTGTGTCCTTTTGAGGCTGCTCCCCGATTCCAGCTCTGATCCCAAATATTTGTGTCCCCCCAGGACAGCTCCTCTGTCACTGCTGCTCCCCGATCCCAAAGATTTGTGTCCCTTGGGGCCGCTCCCCGACCCCAGCTCTGATCCCAAACCCCTCCCCGCTCCCCCCGGGGGCCGGGCAGAGCCGGGATCGCTCCCCAGGGAAGCTCCGGGGCTGGGGCGGTTCCGGGGGCCCGCAGGTGACAGATGGCTCCGGGATGTCCCCGCGCCGCCGCTGCCACCCGCGGGCGCCAGCTGGAGCGTCCCGGGCAGTTCCCGACGCCGCTTCCCACGGCGGCGGCTGCTGCGCTCCATCTGCGCCCCGTCTGCGGGGGGATGCGGGGGGATGCGGGGACGCGCCGGGAGCGGCAGGAGCTGGCCCGGGAGCGCCGCGGATGCAGAACGGAGCTCACCCGGGACAATCCCGGGGGCTGCTCGGGCCCTAAATCCCGGGATAACACCATCCCGCCGGGATAAACCCCATCCCGCCGGGATAAACCCCATCCCGCCGCACCCTAAATCCCGGGATAACCCCATTCAGCTGCACCCCTAAATCCCGGGATAACACCATCCCACCGGGATAAACCCCATCCAGCTGCACCCCTAAATCCCAGGATAAACTCATCCAGTCGGGATAACCCCATCCAACTGCGATAAACCCCATCCAGCCGCACCCCTAAATCCCGGGATAACCCCATTCAGCCACACCCCTAAATCCGGGCATAACTCCTCCAGCCACTCCCCTAAATCCCGGGGTAAACTCATCCAGCCGGGATAACCCCATCCAGCTGGGATAAACCCATCCAAATGGGATAAACCCCATCCTAACGGGATAAACCCCATTCAGCCACACCCCTAAATCCGGGCATAACTCTTCCAGCCACTCCCCTAAATCCCGGGGTAAACTCATCCAGCCGGGATAACCCCATCCAGCCGCACCCTAAATCCCGGGATAACTCCAGCCAGCTGTACCCCTAAATCCCAACCCATCCAAATGGGATAAACCCCATCCTAACGGGACAAACCCCATTCAGCCACACCCCTAAATCCGGGCATAACTCCTCCAGCCACTCCCCTAAATCCCGGGGTAAACTCATCCAGCCGCACTCTAAATCCCGGGATAACTCCAGCCACCTGTACCCCTAAATCCCGGGATAACCCTATGCAGCTGCACCCCTAAATCCCGGGACAAACCCATCCAGCCGCACCCCTATATCCCGGGATAACTCCATCCAGCTGTCCACTAAATCCCAGGATAACCCCATCGAGCTGGGATAAACCTCATCCAGCTGTACCCCTAAATCCCGGGATAACCCCATCCAGCCGGGATAACCCCATCCACCTGGGATAAACCCCATCCAGCTGCACCCTTAAATCCTTCACGAGCAGGATTTTCGATATTCCCAAGGATTTTTAATATCCCACAATTTCTCTGTGTGCCTGTGCTGATTTCTTGTGTTCCTGGTGGTGTTTTGGGGTGGATTTTTATTTTTTTTTTTAAGTTTTGGCGTGTTTTGTTTTAATTCCTGCCCTCACTGCCCAGTACTGAGAAGAATTTTCCCCTCTTTTCCCATCCTGCTAAAACCCCCCTGAGCCTCCCAGGCCGACCATTCCCACCCGTTCCCCGGAGGGATTTTTGGCGGATTCTCTCCTGATTTGGCAATTCCAGGTTTTCCTTGCCCAGGGAAGGCCGGGACGGGCACGGCCCCCCTTGTGCCGGGGGTTTGGGGCGGCCGGAATTCCCAAACCCCTGTGGGAAGAGCCGCTTTCCACGCCCGCAGCTCCCGGCGCTGGGAGGTTGTTCCTGCCCGGCTGCGGGGCTTGGAATTCCCGGAGCTTCCCGAGGTTCCAGCTCCGCTGCCGCTCTAGGTGGCAGCAAATCCACGGCTGGGCGGGTCCCTCCTCCCCGTTTTGGGGCAGAATCCCGGGATTACGCAAATCCTGAGCTGGAAGCACCTGAGGGGATCAGCATCCAACTCCTGGCCCTGCACAGACACCCTGAAATCCCACCGGGAACTCTGGCAGCTTTGGGAATGTCACCATGGCCCCGGGGGGAAAATCCTCTTCCTAAAATCCAGCCCGGGACCCAGGGCAGCAGCTGGATGGGGTTATCCCGGGATTTAGGGGTGCAGGTGGATGGGGTTATCCCGGGATTTAGGCGTGCAGGTGAATGGGGTTATCCCGGGATTTAGGGGTGCAGGTGGATGGGGTTATCCCGGGATTTAGGGATACAGGTGGATGAGTTTATCCCGGGATTTAGGGGTGCAGGTGGATGGGGTTATCCGGTCTGAATGGGGTTGTCCCAGGATTTAGGAGTGCAGGTGGAAGGGGTTAGCCCAGCTGGATGGGGTTGGCCTGGGATTTAGGAGTGCAGGTGGATGGGGTTATCCTAGTTGGAGGAGTTATCCCGGGATTTAGGGGTGCAGCAGGATGGGGTTATCCTGGGATTTAAGGGAGCAACTAGATGGGGTTATCCCAGCGGGATGGGGTTATCCCGGGATTTAGGAGTGCAGCTGGATGGGGTTATCCCAGTCGGAGGAGCTATCCCGGGATTTAGGGGTGTGGCTGGATGGGTTTTTCCTGGCATTCCCGGCATTCAGGAGAGTGTGGGGTGGCTGTGAAGGGACAGGGGCTCTGTCCCTGTGTGTGTCACCTGCTGAGGGCCACCTGCTCATGGGGTGGGGACAGCCTGGGCCAGCCCTGCTCGGCTCGGTGAGACCTGAGCTGAGCCTGCCTGGGCCTGTCCTGGATCCTGACCAAACCCTGCTTGGGTCTGTCCTGGATCCTGTCCCAAACCCTTCCTGGATCTGTCCTGGATCTGTCCTGGATCCTGTCCCAAACCCTGCCTGGGTCTGTCCTGGATCTGTCCTGGATCCTGTCCCAAACCCTGCCTGGGTCTGTCCTGGATCCTGCCTGGATCTTTCCTGAATCCTGACCAAACCCTGTCCCAAACCCTGCCTGGATCTTTTCCAAATCCTGTCCTAGGCCCTTCCCAGGTCCTGCCTGGATCCTTGCTAGACCCTGCCTGGATCTTTCCTGAATCCTGACCAAACTCTGTCCCAAACCCTGCCTGGATCTTTTCCAAATCCTGTCCTAGGCCCTTCCCAGGTCCTGCCTGGATCCTTGCTAGACTCTGCCTGGATCTTTCCTGAATCCTGACCAAACTCTGTCCCAAACCCTGCCTGGATCTTTTCCAAATCCTATCCTAGGCCCTGCCCAGGTCCTGCCTGGATCCTGTCTGGACCCTGCCTGGATCTTTCCTGGTCCTGGGTCTGTCCTGGATCCTGTCCCAAACCCTGCCTGGGTCTGTCCTGGATCCTGCCTGGATCTTTCCTGAATCCTGACCAAACCCTGTCCCAAACCCTGCCTGGATCTTTTCCAAATCCTGTCCTAGGCCCTTCCCAGGTCCTGCCTGGATCCTTGCTAGACTCTGCCTGGATCTTTCCTGAATCCTGACCAAATCCTGCCCCAGGCCCTGCCCAGGTCCTGCCTGGATCCTGTCTGGACCCTGCCTGGATCTTTCCTGGATCCTGCTCAGATCCTGCCCAGATCCTGCCTGGATTTTCCCCAAATCCCACCTGGACCCTCCCTGGGCTCTGCCCAGACCTTTCCTGGGCCCTGCCTGGGTTTTTCCCAAATCCTGCCTGGATCCTTCCCAGCCCTTCCCCAGCCGGGTGCCCAGGGAACACCTGGAATTCTCCAGAGCGGGAAACTCGGGATACAGGCATGGAAGGGGGATTTTCCTGGGAGCTGCCACCCTGTCTGTGCCCAGGGAAGGTCCAGGAGGGATCAGAGGGACAATCAGTGGGATCAGAGGGATGCCCAGAGGGATCCCATTCCCAATCCCGTTCCTGATACCATTCTCAATCCCACTCCCAGTCCCATTCCCCATCTCAGTCATCATTTCCTGATCCCATTCCCGATCCCAATCCCATTCCCCATCCCAGTCCTCATTTCCTGATCCCATTCCCAATCCCACTCCCAATCCTCATTTCCCGATCCCATTCCCGATCCCACTCCCATTATCCCATTCCCCATCCCAATCCTTGTTTCCTGATCCCATTTCCAATCCCATTCCTGATCCCAATCCTCATTTCCCGATCCCATTCCCGATCCCACTCCCATTATCCCATTCCCCATCCCAATCCTTGTTTCCTGATCCCATTTCCAATCCCATTCCCGATCCCAATCCTCATTTCCTGATTCCATTTCTCATCCCAATCCTCATTTCCTGATTCCATTCCTGATCCCATTCCTGATCCCACTCCCAGTCCTCATTTCCCAATCCCATTCCCAGTCCCATTTCCCATCCCAATCCTCATTTCCCGATCCCATTCCTGATCCCACTCCCAGTCCCATTCCTCATCCCAGTCCTCATTTCCCAATCCTATTCCTGATCCCACTCCTGGTCCTGTTCCTGATCCCATTCCCGATCCCACTCCCATGTGAGGGTCCGGCCCGTTCTCACCATCCCAGTGGGATTTGTTCCCGGTGCCATGGGGCCGCTGGAGCTGTCCCGGGATGTGGGGGACAGGGCAGCCTGCGGGGCCGGCGCCTCCTTGGCTCTCCCGAAGGAAATCCGGGACGTTTCCCTTCCACGAGGTAAAAAATCCCAACGCAATCCCAATGAAACCTCCGGATCCCAACCGGGCCAAGGGACAAACCGGGCGCTGCTCCCGAGCCGGGGGTGACAGCGGTGACACGGACAGGGGAGGAAGGGACACAGATCCCGGGAATGCTGCAGATGTCCCAGGGTGGGGGTGTCCCCTCTGTCCCTGAGCCCCGGGACAGCTCCGGGACAACAGCGGGGACAATTGTCGGGCAGGAGGGAGGGTGGCACTTGGGGGCACTGGCACGTGGCACTGCCACACGCCTGGCTTTGTCACACGCCTGAGCTCCTGCACGCGTGGGGACAGGGTGGGGGGACAGGGACACGCGTGGGGACAGGAGATGGGGTGAGGACACAGAGCAGGGACAGGGACACACATGGGGACAGGGTGGGGGGAATGGGGACACACATGGGGACAGGGTGGGAGGAATGGGGACATACGTGGGGACAGGGTGGGGGGAATGGGGACACACGTGGGGACATGGGGAGGGGGAGAGGGACATACATGGGGACACGGGGGAGTGACAGAGACACATGGGGGGTGACAAGGACACATGGGGGCGCAGGAAAAGGAGGTGAGGGGACACAGGAGAGGGCAGGGAGGGCTTGGGGACATCGGAGAGGGCAGGAAAAGGGGGGGATGGGGACAGGAAAAGGGGGGGATGGGGACAGCCGGGGGGGGAGGGACAGGAAAAGGGGGATGGCGACATCCAGGTGGGACAGGAAAAGGGGGATGGGGACACGCAGGGGACAGGGGGAGGGGACGTGGGGACGCGCGGGGCGGTGCGGGAGGGGCGAGTCCCTCCTCCCGCGCCGAGGGTGACCGCGCTGCCAGCTGGCCCCGGGCCCTGACCTTGTCCCCTTGTGCTGGCACTGCCACACGCCTGGCTTTGTCACACGCCTGAGCTCCTGCACGCGTGGGGACAGGGTGGGGGGACAGGGACACGCGTGGGGACAGGAGATGGGGTGAGGACACAGAGCAGGGACAGGGACACACATGGGGACAGGGTGGGGGGAATGGGGACACACATGGGGACAGGGTGGGAGGAATGGGGACATACGTCCCCTTGTGCCCGCCCAGCTCCGGCGCTGCCCATTGTGTCCCCACCCACGCCTGGCCGCGGCAGTGCCACGGCGAGCGCCTGGCCGGGCACCGCCTGTCCCCGTGTCGCTCTGTCCCCGCCCGGGTCCCGCAGGAAGGGACAATCCCGGCCCCGCCAAGGTGTTTCCTGCGCTCCCGATAGGGCCGGGCAGCGCCGCCGGGCTGGGGTGACGCCTGGCCGCGGCAGTGCCACGGCGAGCGCCTGGCCGGGCACCGCCTGTCCCCGTGTCGCTCTGTCCCCGCCCGGGTCCCGCAGGAAGGGACAATCCCGGCCCCGCCAAGGTGTTTCCTGCGCTCCCGATAGGGCCGGGCAGCGCGGCCGGGCTGGGGTGAGCCCGCAGCGGGCACTGCCACCGCAGCGGGCACTGACCCCAGAGACCCCAGAGCTGGCACTGACCCTACAGCGGGCATTGCCACCACAGCTGGCACTGACCCCAGAGACCCCAGAGCTGGCACTGCCACCACAGCGGGCACTGCCACCAAAGATGGCACTGACCCCAAAGACAGGCACTGCCCCTAAACCAGACAGTGCCCCCACAGCTGGCACTGTCCCCAAACCAGGCACTGACCCCAAAGACGGACACTGCCCCCAGAGACCCCAGAGCTGGCACTGACCCTACAGCGGGCATTGCCACCACAGCTGGCACTGACCCCAGAGACCCCAGAGCTGGCACTGACCCTACAGCGGGCATTGCCACCACAGCTGGCACTGACCCCAGAGACCCCAGAGCTGGCACTGACCCTACAGCGGGCATTGCCACCACAGCTGGCACTGACCCCAGAGACCCCAGAGCTGGCACTGACCCTACAGCGGGCATTGCCACCACAGCTGGCACTGACCCCAGAGACCCCAGAGCTGGCACTGCCACCACAGCTGGCACTGACCCCAGAGACCCCAGAGCTGGCACTGCCACCACAGCGGGCACTGCCACCAAAGATGGCACTGACCCCAAAGACAGGCACTGCCCCTAAACCAGACAGTGCCCCCACAGCTGGCACTGTCCTCAAACCAGGCACTGACCCCACAACGGGCACTGCCCCCACAGCTGGCACTGACCCCAAAGACAGGCACTGCCCCTAAACCAGACAGTGCCCCCACAGCTGGCACTGTCCCCAAACCAGGCACTGACCCCAAAGACGGACACTGCCCCCAGAGACCCCAGAGCTGGCACTGCCACCACAGCGGGAACTGACCCCAAAGACAGACACTGACCCCAAAGCCGGGCACTGCCCCCACAGCTGGCACTGCCCCTAAACTAGACACTGCCCCCAGAGCTGGCACTGACCCCAGAGACCCCACAGCGGGCACTGACCCCAGAGCTGGCACTGACCCCAAAGACGGGCACTGCCCCTAAACCAGGCACTGCACTGCCACCACAGCGGGCACTGCCACCAAAGATGGCACTGACCCCAAAGACAGGCACTGCCCCTAAACCAGACAGTGCCCCCACAGCTGGCACTGTCCTCAAACCAGGCACTGACCCCACAACGGGCACTGCCCCCACAGCTGGCACTGACCCCAAAGACAGACACTGCCCCCAAAGCCGGGCACTGCCCCCAGAGACCCCTAAACCAGGCACTGACCCCACAGGTGGCACTGGCCCCAGAGACCCCAGAGCTGGCACTGCCCCTAAACCAGACACTGTCCCAAACCAGGCACTGCCCCCAAAGACAGACACTGCCCCCAAAGCCGGGCACTGCCCCCACAGCTGGCACTGACCCCAGAGACCCCACAGCGGGCACTGACCCCAGAGCTGGCACTGACCCCAAAGACGGGCACTGCCCCTAAACCAGGCACTGACCCCACAGGTGGCACTGGCCCCAGAGACCCCAGAGCTGGCACTGCCCCTAAACCAGACACTGTCCCCAAACCAGGCACTGTCCCCAAACCGGGCACTGCCCCCAAAGACAGACACTGTCCCCAAAGCCAGGCACTGAACCCAAACCGGGCACTGCCCCCAAAGACAGGCACTGACCCCACAGCGGGCACTGACCCCAGAACTGGCACTGCTCCAGGAGCCGGGCACTGACCCCAGAGCTGGACATGCCACACCCCCCCTGTCACCCGCAGTCGCCTGTGCCCCCTGTGCCCCATCGCTACTGGGGTTCCCCGCGGCCGGAGGGCGCCCCGAGCTGTCCCCCTGGGCTGTCCCCCTGTCCCCCGTGAGCCCCGGTCAGTGCCCCTGTCCCCGCTGTCCCCGGGCCGGGCAGGACGCGCCCGGGGGCGGTGGCCTCGGGCCCGGGTGTCCCTTCCTGGCAGGAAAGGGGCCGAGCGGAGCCGCCGGGGCCGGGAGTTTCCTGCGGGATCCGGCGCCAGCAGCGACAGGGACACCGGGACACCGAGCCAGGTAACGGCCCCGGGCCGGCCGGGGGGGTCCGGCCGCCCCCCGCGCGCGGGGCAGCGGCTCCCGGTGCCCCCGGAGAGCGGGGCAGCGGCTCCCGGTGCCCCCGGAGCGCGGGGCAGCAGCTCCGGTGCCCCCGGAGCGGCCGGGGCGGTGCCGCTGCCGACCCCCGGGCTCACCGGGGGGCTCGGGGGGCACCGAGGAGGGAGCGGCGCTGCCCCCCGACCCCCGCGGTTCATCCCGGGGTGTGGGGAGAACCCGGCGGGGCGGGGGGTACCGGGAGACCCCGAGAACCGGGGTGGTGGGTCCGGGATGGGGGGTACCGGGACCCCCGCGGAGCCGCCGAAGTTTTCCGTGCGCCCGCCCCTTCCGCGCGCACCGGGCTGGCCGTTGCCATGACAACTCCTAAAACCGAGCCCCGCTGCCGGCGGCGGGGGCCGAGCCCGCGGGGCGGGGGCGCGTGGGCAGCGGTTTCGGCGGCGTTTTTGGGGGGGAAAAGCGGCGATCGGGGCGTGCTCGGGGCCGGCGGTGCCGGGGGCGGATTGCTCCCGGGAACGGGAGGCGGCGGCGGCGGCAGAGTTTGGGGGGCGGGGGGGCTCCCGGCCCAGGCCTGCGGTGGTTTTGCGGGGCTGGTTTTTGCCCGCTGTTGGTTTCGCGGCTGCCCCGGCTGCGGTTCGGGCAGGACGGGGTGGGTCCCCCCTGAAAAATCCGATTTTTGGTGCGGGAGCTGAAGTTGCGCCGGGAGTTCTGCCCGGCCCGGCTGGGTCAGGAGCTGCTCCCGGCCCTCGGGGGGTGCAGGGCAGCCCCGAGCAGGGATTTTATGGGATTTGTGGCGTTTGTGGGGCTCTGTTCCGTTTCTGGGCCTCCGCTGGTGGATTTGCCCCCCGATGTCTCGGGAAAAATGAATTTACCCCTCTCTGCTCCTGCCAGCCCGGCTCTGAGGAAGGAGACTCCGGAGCTGAGCAGGTGCAGGTCCCCGCTGGGTTTTCCCTGGATAAACTTCCCTAAAAACTTCTGTCCTCCTGTCCTGTGGGTGATGGAGGCAGCAGATTCCCGAAATTCCTGCTCACAGCTGCTCTTACATAACTCGGGGGGCTCTTTGTGCTTCCCGCACCTGCACGGGCGCCCTGGGCCAGGCCCAAGGGGCAAAGAGGGCACCGAGGAGGGGTCTTTTATTCCCGGAAAATGATGCTGGAATGCTCTGGCTGGAAGGCAGTTTAAAGCTCATCCCCATCCCTGGACACTTCTCACTCTCCCGGGTTGCTCCAGCCTGGCCTCGGGCACTCCCAGGGATCGGGCACCGCTCTTATTTTGGGTTTTTTTGGCGTTGCCGAGCAGCCTGAAAGCCCTAAACATCCCAACCCATGGGTAATTCCTGAATATTCTCAATATTGTGGGAATTCCGGCGTGAACCCCCCCGCCCCATCCGCCTGTGTTTGCCCAACCCATGGGTAATTCCTGAATATTCTCAATATTGTGGGGAATTCTGGCCCCATCCGCCTGTGTTTGGCTTCTCGCTCGTGCTTTAGGGGGACACAAACCCACCCAAAACCGCCCGAATCCCCCCCAAAACGGCTCTGGAGCGCTGGCAGAGCCGAGCAGCCCTACGCTAGGAACGTTCTGCCGAGATTTCCAGCCCCTAAAAATTCCCAGCGCTGCCTCCCCCGCGCGGCACCACGTGCGGGCGGCGAGGCACGTGTGGAGCGCGAGTGCGGGAGGGGCACGGCCGGGCTGCTCTTCCTCCCTCCCGCATCCCGGGAGGCAGCCCGGGCTCCTCTTCCTCCCTCCGGCATTCCAGGGATGCAGCCCGGGCTCCTCTTCCCATCTCCTGTATTCCAGGGATGCAGCCCGGGCTCCCTTTCCCCTCTCTCGGTGTTCCAGGGATGCAGCCCGGGCTCCTTTTCATCATTCCAGGGGAGAATTTTGGATTCCCCCTGTCCTCTCCTGCATTCCAGGGATGTAGCTCGTGCTCCCTTTCCCCATCTCTTGTATTCCAGGGAGGCAGCCCGGGCTCCTTTTCCCCATCTTTCATCATTCCAGGGGAGAAAAGCCGGGCACTGCCCCCACCTTCCCGGGAACGGGACAGGGATGCAGCCCGGGCTCCTTTTTCCCTCTCCCAGTGTACCAGGGATGCAGCCCGGGCTCCTTTCCCCTCTCCCAGTGTTCCAGGGAGCAGCCCGGGCTCCTTCAGGGGAGAATTTTGGACTCCCCCTCTCCTCTCCTCTCCCGCATTCCAGGGATGCAGCCCGGGCTCCTTTTTCCCTCTCCCAGTGTACCAGGGATGCAGCCCGGGCTCCTTTCCCCTCTCCCAGTGTTCCAGGGATGCAGCCCGGGCTCTTTCCATGTTCCAGGGGGGCTGCCTGAGCTCCCCTTCCCTCTCCTGTATTCCAGGGAAGCATCCCGGGCTTCCCTTCCTCCCTCTCTCAGTGTTCCAGGATAAAAACTGGGCTCCCTTTCCCATCTCTCCATGTTCCAGGCTCCCCTTTCTCCTCTCCTGTATTCCAGGGAGCAGCCTGGGCTCCCTTTCCCATCCCTCCTGTATTCCAGGGAGCAGCCTGGACTCCCCCTCTGCTCTCACAGTGGCTCCCCTTTCTCCTCTCCTGTATTCCAGGGAGCAGCCTGGGCTCCCTTTCCCATCTCTCCTGCATTCCAGGGAGCAGCCTGGGCTCCCTTTCCCATCTCTCGGCGTTCCAGGGAGCAGCCTGGGCTCCCTTTCCCATCCCTCCTGTATTCCAGGGAGCAGCCTGGACTCCCCCTCTGCTCTCACAGTTTCCAGGGATGCATCCTGTGCTTCCCTTTCCTCTCTCACTGTTCCAGGCTCCTCTTCCCCTCCTTCCTGTATCCCAAAGAACAGCCTGAACTCCCCTTTCTCCCCTCTGTGTTCCAGGGAAGCAGCCTGGGCTCTTTCCATGTTCCAGGGAAGCAGCCTGGGCTCCTTTTCCCTCTCTCAATGTTCCAGGAGCCATCCTGGGCTCCTTTTCCCTCTCTGTGTTGCAGGGATGCAGCTCAGGCTCCTTTTCCCTCTCCCAGTGTTCCAGGAGCCATCCTGGGCTTCCTCCTGTGCTTCCCTTTCCTCTCTCGGCGTTCCAGGCTCCTCTTCCCCCTCTCCTGCATCCCAAGGGAACAGCCTGAGCTGCCCTTTCCCTCTCATGTTCCAGGGAGCAGCCTGGGCTTCCTCTTCTCCTCCCTCACTGTTCCAGGGAGCAGCCTGGGCTCTTTCCATGCTCCAGGGAGCAGCCTGGGCTCTTTCCACGTTCCAGGGAGCAGCCTGGGCTCCTTTTCCCTCTCCCAGTGTTCCAAGGGAGCAGCTTGGACTCCCCCTCTCCTCTCACAGTTTTCAGGGAAGCAACCCAAGCTCCTTTTCCCATCTCTCAGTGTTCCAGGGAAGCAGCCTGGGCTTCCCTTTTCTATCTCACGCTGTTCCAGGGATGCAGCCCAGGCTCCTTTTCCCATCTCCCAGTGTTCCAGGGATGCAGCCCGGGCTCTTTCCATGTTCCAGGGGGGCTGCCTGAGCTCCCCTTCCCCCTCCTGTATTCCAGGGAAGCATCCCGGGCTTCCCTTCCTCCCTCTCTCAGTGTTCCAGGGGAAAACCTGGGCTCCCTTTCCCATCTCTCCATGTTCCAGGCTCCCCTTCTCTTCTCCTGCATTCCAGGGAGCAGCTTGGGCTCCCCTTCCCCTCTCCCAATATTCCAGAGGGGAATTCTGTTCTCCCCTTCCCCTCCCCTTCATTCCAGAGGGGAATTCTGGTCTCCCTTTTCCCCTCTCCCAGTATTCCAGAGGGAAATTCTGATCTCCCCTTCCCCTCTCCCAATATTCCAGAGGGGAATTCTCATCTCTCCTTCCCCTCTCCCAATATTCCAGAGGGAAATTCTGATCTCCCCTTCCCCTCTCCCAATATTCCAGAGGGGAATTCTGTTCTCCCCTTCCCCTCTCCTGCATTCCAGAGGGGAATTCTCATCTCCCCTTCCCCTCTCCCACATTCCAGAGGGGAATTCTGCTCTCCCCTTCCCCTCTCTGGCCGTGATGGATTTGGGGTGGAGCTCAGGGATTCGTGTGCAGTGGGGCTGCTCCCGGATTTTCCAGGGAAAAGCCGTGGGTGGAGGGTCCTTGGAGCGCTCCGGGCGCTCTTTGCACGGGAGGTGAGGAAAATTGGGAATTGGGGTGAGCAGAGCCAGGGAATGGGGACAGGATCCTGCTCTCTTCCTGCTCTGTGCTGCTCCAGCTCTTCCCAGCTGGAGCTGTGGGGTTCAGTGGGAACTGTGGGGTGCAATTCCCTGACTTCCCTGAATCCCCCAATTCCCTGAATTCTCTGAATTCCCTCAATCCCCGAATCCCCTGACTCCCCTGAATCTCTGAATTCCCCAAATTCCCTGACTCCCCTGACTTCCCATAATCTCTGAATTCCCCAAATTCCCTGAATTCCCTGAATCCCCATAATCTCCCAAATCCCCTGACTCCCCTCAATGCCCCAATTCCTGAATCCCTGAATCCCCTGGGAGCTGGAGCACGGGGAGAGGATCCCATCCCACCTCCTCCTGCTCCATGCCCGGTGGGATTGCTGCTCCAGCTCCTCCCAGGGCTCCGGGACCACGAGGAGCTGTGGGATGCAGTGGGGACCCGTGGGGTGGAATTCCCAAATCCCTGAATCCCCAGATCCTCTGACTCCTCTGAATCCCTGATTCCCATCAATCCCCAAATTCCCTGAATCCTCTGACTCCCCTGAATCCCCAAATTCCCATAATCCCCAAATGCCCTGAATTCACTGACTTCCCGAATTCCCTGAATCCCTGGCTCCCCTGAATCCCCAAACCCCTGAATCCCCTGACTTCCCTGAATCCCCCAGTTCCCTGAATTCCCTGAATCCCTCAATCCCTGACTCCCCTGAATCCCCAAATTCCCTGAATCCCTGAATGCCCTGAATTCCCTGACTTCCTGAATCCCTGGCTCCCCTGAATCCCCAAACCCCTGAATCCCCTGACTTCCCTGAATCCCCCAATTCCCCAAATTCCCCGAATCCTCCTAATCCCTCAATCCCTGACTCCCCTGAACCCCCAAATTCCCTGAATGCCCTGAATTCCCTGACTTCCTGAATCCCTGCTCCCCTGAACCCCTGACTCCCCAAATTCCCTGAATCCCTGAACCCTTGAATCCCCTGACGTCTCCGAATTCTCCAATTCCCCAAATTCCCTGAATCCTCCTAATCCCTCAATCCCTGAATCCCCTGAATTCCCTGACCTCCCAAATTCCCTGAATCCCCTGACTTCCCTGAATCCCCCAGTTCCCTGAATTCCCTGAATCCCTCAATCCCTGACTCCCCTGAATCCCCGAATCCTCTGAATCCCTGACTCTCTCAATCCCTGAATCCCCGAATCCCCTGAATCCTCTGAATCCCTGAATACCCGAATTCCTGAATTCCTGAACCCCTGAATCCCTGAATCCCCCAATCCCCAAATCCCCGAATTCCCTGAATCCCTGACTCCCTCAATCCCTGAACCCCTGAATACCCAAATCCCCTGAATCCTCTGAATCCCTGAACCCCTGAATACCCGAATCCTCTGAATCCCTGAACCCCTGAATTACTGAACCCCCGAATCCCTCAATCCCCTGAATCCCCAAATCCCCGAATCCCCTGAATCCTCTGAATCCCCCAATCCCCTGAATCCTCTGAATCCCTGAATACCCGAATTCCTGAATTCCCGAACCCCTGAATCCCTGAATCCCCCAATCCCCAAATCCCCGAATTCCCTGAATCCCTGACTCCCTCAATCCCTGAACCCCTGAATACCCAAATCCCCTGAATCCCTGAATCCCCGAATTCCCTGAACCCCCAAATTCTCAAATACCTGAATCCCTGACTCCCTCGATCCCTGAACCTCTGAATCCCCGAATCCCCTGAATCCTCTGAATCCCTGAACCCCCGAATTCCTGAATTCCTGAACCCCTGAATCCCTGAATCCCCCAATCCCCAAATCCCCGAATTCCCTGAATCCCTGACTCCCTCAATCCCTGAACCCCTGAATACCCGAATCCTCTGAATCCCTGAATCCCCGAATTCCCTGAACCCCCAAATTCTCAAATACCTGAATCCCTGACTCCCTCGATCCCTGAACCTCTGAATCCCCGAATCCCCTGAATCCTCTGAATCCCTGAATCCCCGAATTCCCTGAACCCCCAAATTCTCAAATACCTGAATCCCTGACTCCCTCGATCCCTGAACCTCTGAATCCCCGAATCCCCTGAATCCTCTGAATCCCTGAATCCCCGAATTCCCTGAACCCCCAAATTCTCAAATACCTGAATCCCTGACTCCCTCGATCCCTGAACCTCTGAATCCCCGAATCCCCTGAATCCTCTGAATCCCTGAACCCCCAAATCCCCGAATCCCTGAATCCTCTAACTCCCCAAATCCCGAATCCCCATCCCCGCTCGGCCCCCCCGGCGCGGAGCGGCAGCGGCAGCGGGAGCGGGAGCGGGCGGCCGCAGCTAAAAGGAGCACAAAGAGTAAATTGCCACCATCCCACTCCCGCTGCAGCGCGGCTCTGTCACCGCTGTCACCGCTGTCACTGTGACAACGGGCACGGCTCGGGGGCGGCGGTGCCACCCCGGTGCCAGCCCCGCAGCGCGGGCAGGGCACGGCGGTGGCAGCGGGTGGCACTGGTGGCAGCGGGTGGCACTGGTGGCTGTCGGGCCGGGTGGCAGCTGGTGGCACAATGTGGCACAGGGTGGCATCTGGTGGCAGTGGGTGACAGCGGGTGGCAGCAGTGGCAGTGGGTGCCAGGCCTGGTGGCGGTGGTTGCAGAGGGTGACAGCAAGTGACAAAGGGTGGCAGAGGGTGGCACCATCCAGGCCTGGGGACAGAGGGTGGCAGCAAGTGACAGAGGGTGGCACTGGCCAGGCCTGGTGGCAATGGTGGCAGTGAGTGGCAGTGGGTGCCAGGCCTGGTGGCAGTGGTTGCAGAAGGTGACAGCGAGTGACAGAGGGTAGCACTGGCCAGACCAGGTGGCAGTGAATGGCAGAGGGTGGCAGTGGGTGCCAGGACTGGTGGCAGCTGGTGGCAGAGGGTGGCAGTGGCCAGACCAGGTGGCAGTGGGTGTCAGCAGGTGACAGAGAGTGGCAGTGGCTGTCAGAGGGTGGCACTGGCCAGATCGTGTGGCAGAGGGTGGCAGTGGTGGCAGTGGCTGACAGAGGTGACAGTGGGTGGTAGTGTGTGGCCTTGCCAGGTCTGGTGGCAGCGGGTGTCAGCAGGTGACAGAGAGTGGCAGTGGCTCTCAGAGGGTGGCACTGGCTGGGTCGGGGGGCGGTGGTGGCAGCAGGTGACAGAGAGTAGCTGTGGGTGTCGGTGGGTGACAGAGGGTGGCACTGGCCAGGTCTGGTGGCAGTAGTGGCAGTGGCTGACAGAGGGTGACAGTGTGTGGCGGTGCCAGGCTGGGTGACAGCGTGTGGCCATGCCAGGCCTGGTGGCAGCGGGTGGCAGCAGGTGGCCGTGCCAGGCGGCCCGGCTGGCGCTGGGGACAGCAGGGACGCGCTGCCGGGTAACCCGAGCAGGGAGCGGCCGCTTCCTCTCTCATCAAATATTGAGGCCCCGGCGGCTCGGTGACACCGGGGTGGCCCTGGCGCGTGACTCGGGGACAAACGGGGGTGGCAGGGCAGAGCGGGCAGGGCCGGGCCCCGGGAGGGCACCCCACGGGTGTCCCTGCACCCCACAGGTGTCCCCTGCACCCCACAGGTGTCCCCTGCACCCCAAAGATGTCCCCTGCACCCCACGGGTGTCCCCTGCACCCCACGGGTGTCCCCTGCACCCCACAGGTGTCCCCTGCACCCCACAGGTGTCCCCTGTACCCCACAGGTGTCCCCTGCACCCCACAGGTGTCCCTGCACCCCACGGGTGTCCCCTGCACCCCACAGGTGTCTCCTGCACCCCATGCATGTCCCCTGTACCCCACAGGTGTCCCCTGCACCCCACAGTGGGGCTGGGGGTCACGGTCCTGCACAAGCCCTGCTGGGAGGGGATGGTGCTGTGGGGGGCACTTTCTGGGAATCCCAGAATCCCCAAATCCCAGAATCCAGGATTTCAGAATCCCAGAATCCCCAGTCCTAAAACTCCAGAATCCCAGAACCCAGAATCCCCGAATCCCAGAATCTGGGATTTCTGAATCCCAGAATCCCGAGCCCTAGGACTCCAGAATCCCAGAACCCCAGAATCCCCAAAGCCCAAAATCCAGGATCATAGAATCCCAGAATGCCAGAACTCAGAATCCCAGAATGTGAGAATCCCAGAACTCAGAATCCCCAAATCCCAAAATCCCCAAATCCCAGAATCCAGGATCTCAGAATGTGAGAATCCCAGAATCCCCAAATCCCAGAACCCAGGATTTCTGAATCCTAGAATCCTAGAATATCAGAATCCAAAATCCCATATTCCCACAATCCCAGAATCCCAGGTTCCAGAACCCCAGAACCCCACAATCCATATCCCAGAAACTCGCAATCCCAGAACTCTAGATTTGAGAATCCCAGAACCCAAACCCCCAGAATCCCAAAATGCCTGAACCCCACAATCCCAGAATCTCAGAATCCAAAATCCCACATTCCCACAGTCCAGAATCCCACAATCCAAACCCCCAGAACCTCAGAATTCCAGAACCCCAGATCCCAGAATTATTTACGGTGGAAAAACCCCCCAAGGTCACCAAGCCCCCGGACCCGTGCCCGGTCCCCAGCCCAGAGCCCTGAGTGCCACACCCAGGAATTCTGGGGACACCTCCAGGGACGGGGACCCCAACACTTCCCTGGGAATCCCATCCCAAATTCCAGTGGGATTTTCACGCTGGGATTAGAAGAACCAGGAGATCCCAATGGGTTCGGGCACAGCGCCGGGCACCAAAAACCCCAAAAGCGGAGTTCGGGGTCTGGGCTGGCTCCCGCCTCATCCCTTGGGAAGGGCTGGCATTCCTGCCTTTTTTGGGGAATGATTTCAGCTTCCAGGCCTGGATCACTCTGCTTTTTCTGGAAACGCTCCGGGAGCGGCAAGAATGGCCGGAAGCGCCGCCGGCCGCTCGCTCCCTCGCGCAGGAAACGCCCGCGGCCCTTCCCGGCCCGGCCGCGGCCTCGGGGCGATCCCGGCTGGAAAAGCGACTGCGGGGTCCTTCCCGGTCCTTGGGAGGATCCCTGGGGGATCCCGTTGGGATGGGAGATCCCGGAGCTCTCCCTGGTGTCACCGGATCCTCAGGGCACGGTGGGACGGCAGCGGGAGGTGACGATGTTTCCGGATCTGTGGATGAGCTTTGTTTTCCCAGAAAAACTGGGGCTGGTTTGGGGCTTTTTCCTCGGGGATTTTCTGGAAAAAATGTGAGGAAGGGCTGGCATTCCTGCCTCCACTCTGCTTTTTCTGGAAACGCTCCTGAGGACTGGGATTGGAACAAGAATCCCAGAATCCTCAGGAACGTGAGGGTTGGGATTGGAACAAGAATTCCAGGATCCTTTGGGATTGTGAGGATTGGGATGGGAACAAGAATCCCAGGATCCAGGATCCTTTGGGATTGTGAGGACTGGGATTGGAACAAGAATCCCAGAATCCTCAGGAATGTGAAGGTTGGGATTGGAACAAGAATTCCAGGAGCCTTGAGAATGTGAGGTTTGGGATGGAACGAGGATTCCTGGATTCTTGAGAATGTCAGGGTTGAGATGGGAACAAGAATCCCAGGATCCAGGATCCTTGGGAATGTGAGGGTTGGGATGTGGAACAAGAATTCCAAAACCCAGAATCCTCGGGAATGTCAGGGTTGGGATTGGAACAGAATTCCAAAACCCAGGATCCTTTGGGATTTGAGGGTTGGGATGGGAACATGAATCCCAGGATCCTCGGGAATGCCGGGGCTGGGATCCTGCCGGCTGCAAACCTCCCGGATCTCTGGCACAATTCATTCCCTGTGCCAATTTAATTTCTTGGGGCCGATGAAAAACTCCGGAATCTTCTCCCTCCCGTTCCCAGGAGGAGAATCTCCTCCTGCCAGCATCCCGTTTCTCTTCCCAGCACCTCTGGAATCGCTGGATGCGCATTCCCAGGGCTGGAATTCCAGCCAGGCCTCACCCGAGCCCTGAAGAAGGGCTGGAGAGCAGGAAAATCCCTCCCGGTGCTGCCGTGACCCCCGGCAGCGCCTCCCCCTCCGGAACCTCTGGATCCGGCTGGGAATTCTCTCCTCGGCGCTTCCTGCCAGGCAGGGAAGCGTTTCCTCCCCTTGAGCGCCGGATCCCGCGGGATTTTCCGCTCCTGCTCAGGATGTCACGGCTCTTATCTCGCTCCCCTCTCCTCTCCCAAATCCCGAGGTGGCGATTCCGCCTTTTCCTCCCCCTTCCCGCGAGTTCTCCTCGCCCTTTGGCCGCTCTTCCCTCCCGTTTTGGGTTTTCCTGGGATTTGTGTTTCATGGGAAGCTCAGGCTGGGAAGGCCTGCGCCTCTCCCAGCCCTTTCCTGGCTTTGGAGCAGCCAAAATCCGGGATTTTGGGGTGTTCCCGGTGGGAAGGAGCCTGTGGGGGTGTTTTCCCTCATCCCAAACCCAGGATTCGCTCGGGGAGCTTGGATGTCCCTGCGGGCAGAGCATTCCCTGGGTATTCCCAGGAACCTTTCTGTAGGTCCTACAAATCCCAGCGCCGATTCCCTGTCCCCAGAAGCGTCCCCTGGGCTGGCCCAGCAGGTGACGGCGGCAGCCGCGGCCGCTCCGGCCCCCCAGCCTCATTTTCCACACCAGCCGCCACTTCTCCAGGTGCAGGAAGGAGGAGACCTTGGGAAACATTCCCAGGACTCCGGCCAGACACCTGCGGCGCTCCAGGAGTTTTGGGGCACAAAGGGCACGGCCTTTTTCCCCCCTTTTTTCCCCCCCCTTTTTTCCCCCCTTTTTTCCCCCCTTTTCCCCCCTTTCCCCCCCTTCCCGGCTGGCAGCAGCGGCGGCGCTGGGAGAATTCCCAAGCCATGCATTTTTAATTCCCTAAGAAGCAGCAGCCATTTCAGCGCCCGCCCCGAGCGCGGCCTTGGCGGCGCCGAGCGGCCCCAGAGGCTCCCTGGATGTTCCCATTCCCTGGATGTTCCCGTTCCCGAATTTCCGGGCTGGAGGTGGGCGCCGGCCCCCAGGAGGAAGGGAAAGGGGTGACCCCTGTGGGGACATTCGGGGCTGGTGGCACCGAGGGGAGGCTGGGGGTGAGCCGGGAGAGGATCCCGCTGAGCCGGGGTGGGAAAAGTGGAGGATCCCACTGATCCAGGATGGGAAAAGTGGAGGATCCCACTGATTCGGGGTGGGAAAACTGGAGGATCCCACTGATTCAGAGTGGGGAAAGTGAGGATCCTACTAATCCAGGGTGGGATTGGTGCTGGAGAATCCCACTGATTCGGGGTGGGAAAAGTGTGGGAAGAACCCCATTGATCCAGAATGGGATCGGTGCTGGAGGATCCCACTGATCCAGGATGGGAGAGGTGGAGGATCCCGCTGGTCTGGGGTGGGAAAAGTGGAGGATCCCATTGATCCAGAGTGGGGAAAGTGAGGATCCTACTAATCCAGGGTGGGATTGGTGCTGGAAAATCCCACTGATCTGGGGGGGGAAACGTGGAGGATCCCACTGATCTGGGGTGGGAAACGTGGAGGATCCCACTGGTCTGGGGTGGGAAAACAACAGGAAGAACCCCATTGGTCCAGAGTGGGATTGGTGCTGGTGGATCCCACTGATTCGGGGTGTGAAAGGTGGGGGATCCCACTGATCCAGGGTGGGAAAAGTGGAGGAAGCAATCCCATTGATCCAGAGTGGGAAAAGTGTGGGAAGAACCCCATTGATCCAGAGTGGGGAAAGTGAGGATCCCACCAATCCAGGGTGGGATTGGTGCTGGAAAATCCCACTGATCTGGGGTGGGAAAAGTGCAGAATCCCACTGATGTGGAGTGGGATTGGTGCTGGAGGATCCCACTAATCCAGGGTGGGAGAGGTGGATGATCCCACTGATCTGGGGTGGGAAAAGTGGAGGATCCCATTGATCCAGGATGGGAAAAGTGGAGGATCCCACTGATCTGGGGTGGGAAAAGTGTGGGAAGAACCCCACTGATCCATGGCGAGATTGGTGCTGGAGGATCCCACTGATCCAGAGTGGGAAAAGTGCAGAATCCCAGTGATCCGGGGTGGGAAAAGTGGAGGATCCCACTAATCCAGGGTGGGAAAAGTGGGGGATCCCACTGATCCGGGGTGGGAGAAGCATCCATGGCTCCCGCTGAGCCAGGTCCCTGCATCCATCATCCCTCTCCTGATCCCTGGGATGTTCCCTGGGGCTCTCACTGGCACAGCACGGGATAAGGATGGGCTCCTGTGGTGGGAATTCTCGGGATAAGGATGGGCTCCTGCGGTGGGAATTCTCGGGATAAGGATGGGTTTGTGTGCCAGGAATTCTCGGGATAAGGATGGGTTTGTGTGTCAGGAATTCTCGGGATAAGGATGGGTTTATGTGGCAGGAATTCTCGGGATAAGGATGGGTTTGTGTGTCAGGAATTCTCGGGATAAGGATGGGTTTGTGTGTCAGGAATTCTCAGAGCTCAGAATTTTGTCTTCCCTGCGACACCAGAGGTGCCCTTCCCTGTCCCTGCTGCCCCTTTTCTGGGAATTCTCGCATTCCCACCCTCCTGCCACCGCATTCCCAGCGTTCCCATTCCCGGGAATGCTCTGACGTGTCCCCTCTGTCCCCGCAGGTGGATGAGGAGGGAGCGCTGTGAGCCCGGCCCGTGACTCTGCTGCCAGGTGAGCCCTTCCTTGGGATCGCCGGGAATGGGGCTGGGAATGGGGCTGGGAATGGGGCTGGGAATGGGGCTGGGAATGGCCCTGGAGTGGGGGATCCAGCCAGGAATGGGGCTGGGAATGGGGCTGGGACAGGGGATCCAGACGGGAATGGGGCTGGGAATGGCCCTGGAGTAGGGAATCCAGACGGGAATGGGGCTGGGAATGGCCCTGGGATGGGGGATCCAGCCGGGAATGGCCCTGGGATGGGAAATCCAGCCAGGAATGGGGCTGGGAATGGGGCTGGGACAGGGAATCCAGCTGGGAATGGCCCTGGGATGGGAAATCCAGCCAGGAATGGGGCTGGGACGGGGGATCCAGCTGGGACGGGGGATCCAGACGGGAAACTCCTCTGGGGATCAGGAGTGGGAGATGGGGGCAGGAATGACAAAAACTGGGAAATACTGGGAAAGACTGGGAAAGGCTGGGAAAAACAGAAAAACTGTAAAAGGCTGCAAAAAAAACCTGGGAAAAGCTGGAAAAGACTGGGCTCAGAGCGGTCCCTGCAGGCAGTAACAGGAATGGGAAAAGGCTGGAAAATTTGGGAAAGGCTGGGAAAAACTGGGAAAGGCTGGGAGGGAAAAACAGAAAAACTGTAAAAGGCTGCAAAAAAAACTGGGAAAAGCTGGAAAAGACTGGGCTCAGAGCGGTCCCTGCAGGCAGTAACAGGAATGGGAAAAGGCTGGAAAATTTGGGAAAGGCTGGAAAAAACTGGGAAAGGCTGGAAAAGACTGGGAAATGCTGGGGAAAACTGGAAAAGGTTGGGAAAAGCTGGGAAAGGCTGGAAAAGGCTGGCAGGGCTCAGAGCAGTCCTGGCTCAGGTGTGGAGAGTTGAGGGCAGGAATGGGAATGGGAAAAGTTGGGAAAGGCTGGAAAGGCTCCGAGCGGTGCCGGCTTTGAGGCAGGAGCAGCCGTGGCTCTGGAAATTCCCACAAATTCTGGGATTTTCCCACGTTCCCATGGGAGTTTCCAGCAGGAGAATCCCATGGGAATGTGGCTGGGCAGGTCCCCCTGGAGCTGTGGGGGTTCTCCCGGAGCCTTTGGAAGCGCGGCCGTCCCTGGCACTGGGATGGGGACAGGGAGGGGACAGATGTCCCATGGAGGTGACAAAGGAAAAGTGTCCGGATCCTCCCGATCCAAACCTTCCCTCCAGGGGGTTTTTCCTCAGGGATTTTCCCAATCTCTGCCCTGACCTCTTCCTGTGGCATTCAGAGCTCCTCTGTTCCTGGAAAAGATCCTGATCCTGATCCCAATCCCAAACCCAATCCCGATCCTGATCCCAAACCCAATCCCGATCCTGATCCTAATCCCAATCCCAAACCCAGTCCTGATCCTGACCTCAGTCTCGATCCTATCCCAATCCCAATTCCAATCCCAATCCCAAACCAGCCCCAGGACTTGCTGCTGTTCCCACCTGGAGCCATTCCCAATCCTGGGAATCACTGGGATTTGGGATTCCAGCTCCTGTCCCCGGGCTGATCCCATCCCATCCCAGGACTGGAATAGCTGGGAATTCCCACAGGGACACCCCAGGAGCTCCCAGCCCCTTCCCTGCCAGGCTTTGGGATGAAATCCCAGGGACCAGGGGTCAAACCAAGGAACGGGAATTCCAGCGGAGCCCAGGGGGCTCCTCCCGGCTCCAGCGTCATCCCAGAACCTCCGGAATGTGCTCCCAGTGCTTTATTCCCGGCCATTCCCGGCCATTCCCGGCCATTCCCGGCCATTCCCGGCCATTCCAAACGCTGCTTTCCCACTCCGGGCGCTGCAGGCGCTTCCCTGCCGCCTGTGGGAGGGAATGCGGGAACGTGGGAATGCGGGAATGTGGGAATGCGGGAACGTGGGAGCTTTCCCAAGCTGTTCTCCCTCTGGAATGCGCGTCTGGAGCCTCCCGCTGGTGCCAGACTCGAGGGATCCGTGGCGGGGGGACAGCGCCGTTCCCTGATCCCGGGATTTCTCTGGGATTCCCTGGATTGTCTGTGATTCCCGGGATTTCTCTGTGATTCCGGGATTTCTCTGTGATTCCCTGGATTGTTCTGTGATTCCTGGGATTTCTCTGTGATTCCCGGGATTTCTCTGTGATTCCCTGGATTTCTCTGTGATTCCTGGGATTTCTGCATAATTCCTGGGATTTCTTCCCGATTCCCAGGATTTCTCCTTGATTCCTGAGATTTTGCCTCAATTCCCAGAATTTCTCAGCGATTCCTGGAATTTCTCCCCGATTCCCTGGATTTCGCCCCACGTCCCAGAATTTCTCCCCGATCCACGGGATTTCTTTGTGATTCCCTGGATTTCTCTGTGATTCCCAGAATTTCTCCCCAGTTCCCGCGATTTCTCTGTAATTCCTGGATTCCTCCCTGAATCCCACGATTTCTCCTCAAATCCTGAGATTTTGCCTCAGTTCCTAGAATTTCTCCATGATTCCTGGAATTTCTCTTCAATTCCCGGAATTTCTCCCCAATTCCTGTAATTTCCTTGCAATTCCCAGAATTTCTCCCTGATTCCTCTCTGATTCCCGTAATCTCTCCCAATTCCCGTAATTTCTCCTCAATTCCCAGAATTTCTCTCTGATTACCCGAATTTCTCCTCAATTCCCAGAATTTCCCCCTGAATCCTCTAATTCCTCCCTGATTCCCGTAATTTCCCTCTGATTCCTGTAATCTCTCCCTGATTCCCGGAATTTCTCTGCGATTTCCGACATGTCCCAAATTCCCATTATTTCCCCGTGATTCCCGTAATCCCTCCCAATTCCCATAATTTCTCCTCAATTCCCATAATTTCCCAGATTCCTGTAATCTCTCTCCGATTCCTGGAATTTCTCCACGATTTCCGACATGTCTCCAATTCATGGAATATCTCCGCAATTCCTGAAATTTCCCCGCGATTCCCGTAATTTCTCCTCAATTCCCATAATTTCCCCAATTCCCGTAATCTCTCCTCAATTCCCGGAATTTCTCCGCGATTTCCGACATGTCCCAAATTCCCATTATTTCCCCGTGATTCCCAGGATTTCCCCGTGGTTCCCAGGATTTCTCCGTGATTCCCAGAATATCCCTGTGATTCCCGTAATCTCTCCCCGGTTCCCGGAATTTCTCAGCGATTTCCGACATGTCCCAAATTCCCATTGTTTCCCTGTTATTCCCGGAATTTCCCCACAATTTCGGACATGTCCCAAATGCCCATTATTTCCCGGCCGTTCCCGGGATCTCCCCTCGATTCCCGGAATTTCCCGGCCGTTCCCGGGATCTCCCGGCCGTTCCCGGAATCTCCCCTCGATTCCCGGGATCTCCCGGCCGTTCCCTGTGATTCCCGTAATCTCTCCCCGGTTCCCGGAATTTCTCAGCGATTTCCGACATGTCCCAAATTCCCATTATTTCTCTGTTATTCCCGGAATTTCCCCACAATTTCTGACATGTCCCAGATTCCCATTATTTCCCCGCCGTTCCCGGAATTTCCCCTCGATTCCCGGAATCTCCCCTCGATTCCCGGAATCTCCCGGCCGTTCCCGGGATCTCCCCTCGATTCCCGGAATCTCCCGGGGCGCGGTTCCCGGGATTAGCGGCGGCCCCGCCGAGCAGATGGAGCGGGGCTGATCCCATTAGCGGCCCCGGCCCGGCGCGGGGGGGCCCTCCCGCCTTCCCCGGGTGTTTGTCCCGGCTGGATCCAGCTCCGGGCGGCTCCGAGCCCTCGGGATTCCGGGAACAGGTGAGATCCGGCCCCGGGATGGGCGGCACCGGCGCTCCCGTGGAATTCCCGGGGGTTCCCGGGGCTTTGGGGTCCCCAGCGGGGCGGGGACGCGCCCGGGCCACGCCGGGCCTGGCGGTGCCACCAGCGCGCTGTCCCGGGATGAGAGCGGGAATTGCGGGAGCTGCCGGGTGGCATTTGTTTGTCCCCGTGTCCCCGGTGGCACCGGCGGGCTCTGGAATTGTCCTCCGGGCCTGCTCCTCTCCCGATCCTTGGGGATGTTGGGGGCTGTCCCCACCCAGGATCTGGGATCTGTGGGGTCCTGGAATGCTCCAGCCCTGGCAGGGATTTCCCGTGTCCCGTACAGCTCTGTCCCCCCTGTCCCCCCTGTCCCCCACCCTGTCCCCGCTGTCCCTGTCCCTCTGTCCCCCCTGTCTCCTCTGTCCCTGTCCCCCTGTCATTGTCCCCTCTGTTGCTGTCCCAGCTGTCCCCATTCCTGTCCCTCTGTTCCCATCCCCCCGTCCCTCTGTCCCCCGTCCCCTCTCTCCTTCTGTCCCTGTCCCCATTCCTGTCCCTTTCTGTCCCTGTCCCCCCTGCCGCTGTCCCCTCTGTCCCCTCTGTTGCTGTCCTGTCTGTCCCATTCCTGTCCCCCTGTCCCTGTCCCCCGTGTCCCCCGTGTCCCCCAGCACAGGGCAGTCCGTGCCGGGTTCGCTGTCCCCCGTGTCCCCAGCACAGGGCAGTCCGTGCCCCCTCTGTCCCTGTCCCTCTGTCCCTGTCCCCCGTGTCCCCCTGTCCCTCTGTCCCCATTCCTGTCCCCCTGTCTCTGTCCCCCTGTCCCTCTGTCCCTCTGTCCCTGTCACCATTCCTGTCCCTCTGTCCCTCTGTCCCTGTCCCCCTGTCCCTCTGTCCCCATTCCTGTCCCCCTGTCCCTCTGTCCCTCTGTCCCGCAGGTGCGCAGGTCCCGCAGTGCCGCGCGTGGCGCTGCGGTTTCCATGGTGACGGTGCCGGGAATGTTCCCATGGATACGGAGCGGGATGGGGGAGCCCCGAACCCGGGGGACATTCCCGAAACCTGGGGACATTCCCGAAACCTGGGGACATTCCCGAACCCAGGGGGACATTCCCGAACCCAGGGGGACATTCCCGAACCCAGGGGGACATTCCCGAACCCAGGGGGACATTCCCGATCCGGGGGGACATTCCCAAACCCAGGGGGACATTCCCGAAACCTGGGGACATTCCCGATCCAGGGGGACATTCCCAAACCCGGGGGGACATTCCCAA